GTAGAACATATCAATAATCTGAAAAATGAGAAATTAGTTTTTACACAATGCTAAATATTTTTTCTCTTATAAACAGTTTTAAGCTTTTTAATGTTGTTTATTAATATCTTAATAATTATAGATAAAACAATAAAACATAACCAATACCTCATACTAAATTTCAACCATATTCATACCAAATATATAACTACATTGACCTCCTTTTGGTTAATAATTAAAAAAATCTAGGTCAATAATAAAGGCAAGGTTAATAAAGGAACTGAGAAACTGCTCAGTTGTATGTTGTCAATAAACTTATACATTTTGTATATTCAATTAATTCTATATAAATATGATATTGGTGTTAGTTTTCCTTTTATTTCCAAGTTAAAATATAGATAATTATATATATAATAATAAATAGATTCAAATTGAATATTACTATATATTCAATATGAAATTACTGTATTTGTCGTCATTTATTAACTTCATTAGTGTATCAGAAAATAATAAAGAATTCAAATTTGGCTATTGACCTTTTCCTTAGTTCAATATATAACTATTCTAATTACTGAATATCAAAATTATTCTAGCATATTGTGAATAATTCCAATAATTTAAATAAAAATTTGAGTAAGAAACCTGCCAAATACAGAGTTCTTACTTAAATTTTCATTTTAATTCCATGATTTTCCCGGACTTCCTGACCTTCATGTCCTTTACAGTAACATTTACAAAATTAAACAGTATTTGACTTGCTATGCACATACACCATGTTTTTCCAACTTTTTAATCTGTTATTTTTTCTATTTAACATTTATATATTTTTTATAATTGCTGAATTATTAAAACTAAAAATAAAATATTTTATTAAATTACAACAGTTTATTCAGTGTTATTAATCCATAACCATAAATCTATATGGCTTTGAAAAACAAGAAAAATGCCATTACTTATTTATTATTAACAAATCCTGTATAATCCATGTAGAAAAGTATGTATTTATTAAATTTATCCCTTAATAAATTTCTTCAACTTAATAAAATATTAATAAACTGAAAAAAAATTATAAATTGTTTTGTTATGCAATCAAAATTATTAAAATGAAAAATGATAAATAATTTTAATTTAAATGGTATTATTTTTCATTTTTTGTAGTGTGTAAATTTTTGAGGAAATTCTGTGTATGTTTGGGAAAAATTTTGGGTCCTGAAAATATTCTGCAACCCTTATCATAAGTTTCACCACATCACACTTCTTGCTACCTGAAGACAGCTACATTTACAACAAAAACTCAAGGAGACAACTTCCCTGACTTTCCATTTATTTCCAAACACTAATGAATATCCCTGATTTTCCAAGTGGCAGGAACCCTGCAAATATAACATATAATTAATAAACTATCAAACAAAATATTAAAGAATGTTTGTTATTTTTATAGTATGTTTTAAAACTATCACAATCAACACCAAACCATTATTGATAATTAAGAAGCTATTCTTTTATTCAAAAGACATGTTTTCAGGAATTTTTCTCTTCTCATCTTCAGCAATTTACAGAAGCTGTTTCTAAACTTAAATGGGTAGTTTTGAATAATAAATTATAAATATTAAACCATTTACATTCTGTTTCTTGTTTAAATTTTTTGCTCTGTAAATATTTTTTTTAAAAATATTTTAATCTGTTTTGTAGTATTTTAAAGATATACTTAAATATTAGAAATATAGAAATTTCCATAAAAGATAAGATGCCATTAAAAGATTAATAAAATGAGAAAAAGTTCTGAAGGAGAAATAATATATAAAAAGATTTAATATTCAAAATACATTACTCAAAAAGTTCTGTTTGATTCTGAAGATTGTTTATGTGAATCACTAAAGATGGAAAGAGAATTTCCAAAAATGTTTACATAAAATAAAAAAACAAAAAAGTTGGGTCTTATTATTAGTTTGGTATTAATTATGAGATTGTTACTTAATGTTTTACATGATTACTATAAAGTTATGTAGTTTCTATGCTGTACTGCAATGCCTTTATCATATACAACAGAAACAATTATTAAAGTTTAAATCAGGGCTGTGGAATTGGAGTCGTCAAGTTTTGGTGTTTTAGCCGGAGTCGGAGTCTGATGGTAAGGAAAAGTAGGAGTTGGAGTCGGTAGATTTTTACGCGACTCCATAGCCCTGGTTTAAATACACATATACATATCATTATTCTAAATACTGTAATAAGTAACATGCTAAGAATCAATTTCAGACTCAACAGTGAGAAATAGTTAACAAATTTTCATAACCACCTTATGCTTGCTGAGAAATATTTATACTACTACAAATGTTTCCAACCTAAATTCTATAGTTCATTATCAAATGTAATACTGTATCTGAATGTTGTTTTGAAATGAAATACTTCACAATATTCAAGCACATAATCTAAACATATACAAATACAGAATTTACAATACATATACAAATTTAAAATACAGAAGAAGTAAAATAAAATAAATAAAGATAAATAACTAACAAAAATAAATAATACCATCAGTAACTGAAACTCATAATGTATATAGAAAAGTGAAAGTGAATTATGAGTTTCTATATTGCAATTTGTTTCTTAATTTGTGTTTCCATGTCAAATGTAATCCTTCTGCTTTTCTAGCATTATTCCCTGCATCAATTAGTCTGGTTTTATAAATGCATTTTTTATTCACTGATTTCCAATGTGGAGGTATATAGTACAGATTAAAAAGAATGAGACTGGTATCATTCTAATGATACGAACCTCACTACATTTAAATATAGTCTTACATGACTATTGCAATATAGAAACTCATAGTTTGCATCCACCTTTCTATATGCAATACATACTGTATCTTTGATTTATTTTTTATGTTTAATTGCTGTCAGTATTAAATAAGTAACAAAACTAAATAAATATCTTTTATTTATTTCATTTTATATTTTTTCTATTTGGTATTTTAAATTTATATGTTTACATTATATGTGTTTGAATGTTCTATTGTAAAATATTCCATTTCAAAAACATTCAGATACAATATTACACCTGATGATGACCTATAGAATTTAGATTAAAAATGTTCATGATATAAATATTTCTCAACAAGCATAAGGTTACAAAAACTTGTTAATAAATGCTAAGTTTATTTACAATTTTAATTACATTAATTTAATTAAATTACAATTTTATACTTTTGCTTTAAAAAAATTTTTAAACTAAAACAATAATTTTATCTTCAAATAAAAAGTTTATTTTCCAAATATTATATCAAATTAGAAAAAAGATTATGTATTGCTTTAAGTAATTAAGATAGATAGATAAAATACTGACTATCTGCTTATAACATGTATTTTTATCTGTAAAAAAACTTATTGACAGGAAAATATAACAATCGTATATATCATCTTTTAATTCAAAAAATATTAATTAAAATATAGCTTAACAATTATCAACAAAAAAAAATAAAACTTGCTATAAAAACAAATAAAACTTGTTTTTATAGCATGTTTATGTACAGTACATAACATAGGATCGTCCAAAAAGAATGTTACCATTTTAAATTATTGTAATGATGTTAATTATTATCTGAGAATGTTATAATGTACAATAAAACATCAGAAAGTTTCACAAATTACCCATTACAATTTTTCAATGTGTATACATCCTGTCATCAACATTACCTCTAATTTTTTTTTTTATCTGACTGGAACATATACTTCTCTGAGCAGATACATAGACAATCTTATTTTTTTCCTTTAAAAATTAAAATTATTAATTATGAAATAAAGATGAAAATTCATTTTAAAACATACTTCCATACAAAATATTATCTTTTCTCAGTGATTTAATGTATTTAATCGAAATATATGTAGCAATAATCATGTCGCAGACAGAATGATAAATCAGCAAACAATAGTTCAAATCAGTGTGCATGCTCGCCTGCACAGCATATAAATTCCTGTGCGCAGCAACAATTTGAGCAGTGCGCGGCCGCATGGCTTAGAGAGAACCTTGCCTGTCACATGCACATATTCAAAACTCCATACTACCTACACATATCCATTTGTCACTCCTCTCACAGCAGTCACAATTCTTCAGCTCCTGCAGATAACTCATGTTGCACAATGATAAGTGATTCCAATTTTGTTAATTGCAGAACACAAAATGCCTTCTCTGTTGCAGATCACCATTTTCATTTACAGTGCTTGGTAAAGAGGGTGCTCCCAACTGTTCAACAAGATGCTTAAATGCAATTGGGAGATCAAACTCAGTTACTCTATTGATTGGTATGTCACATACTTTTTAGATAATAATTAACATAATTACAGTAATTTGAAATGGTAACATTCATTCTGGAAAACCCTATGTTATGAAGATGTTATAAGTCTCTTTACAATTTTACAAAAAATTTAAATTTTAACAATGAGATCAGTTATCAAATATTATAAATTCCTAACATTTAAATCTGAAGTTAAAAAAGGTTCAATCATAATAAAATTTTGATAGCACAAAATCTAGGCTACAAATAAGATTCATTTCTCCAAACAGTAGCATCCTAAATTATGCATCCAGCACAAGGATAGTCCATTTACAGACAAGAATAACTAAAAGAGTAAATCATGAGAAAACAAAGAATAAGAAATAATGTTGTGATCCAAACCTATTCATTAAAAATCAAACAAGTCAATATCCCATATACTCAAACATTTAATAATTCATTACACAATGCATTTCAAAACATCTAATTATACATTTCATAATAAAAAATTGTAAATTTAAAATTCAAATAAATATTTCAACTATCTGATCGAAACTACAAGAAAATAATTTATTCCTGTTATCAAAAATATAAAAATGTCAACAATACAAATATATATATAAATTTTTTCAAACAGATAATAGGATAAACTGAAAAAAAATTATAAATTGTTTTGTTATGCAATCAAAATTATTAAAATGAAAAATGATAAATAATTTTAATTTAAATGGTATTATTTTATAAAATTTTATAATTTAAAATAATTTGTGAATATATAAAAATAGTTCCAATTTTATCATCTGATATGCCTAACATGTGATCACTACATTTGATCACTTTAGATCTGGGGTCGATGCCCCCAGATAACTTTGTAGATCTCGTATTGAAGACTTCATCAACTTGCAACGAATCGTTGGCAATTTTAACCTTTTATGGGCTTCGTAACGGTGACAGCCACCAAAAGAATAAAAATAATCGCCACCTTCTCTTCCTTTAATCCACAAAACATCAATTGGTGGAACTTCATTTCTTTTATTTTCTTGCTAAAAAAATATAATATTTTTAAAGAAACTATTTACTCATATTAAATTCATTAATAACATATTACAATATAAAATTAAAATATAACAAAAAGCAGTACATTATTGCAGTATTTCCCAATCTATGTGACACAAACACTTGTGTGTCACAAGAGTACTTCAGGCATGTCATGGAAATATTAAATTCTTTTAGAATTTTGAATAAGCTCTTTCTTAAAATTTCATTTATCTTTCATTTTTTACTGCTGGCCCACTGAATGGAAAAGACAGTATTCACTCAAATGTGGATTGTGCAAATTATGTAGCATAAGAATATCCTCCCCACAAAAGTTGCATGCATCTTGCATAAACCAACATACCAACTGTTTGGAGTTTCTATAAACACTGCAACTTATCACTAAAATTATGTGTATAGTTATAATAAATTGCACTCTGTTGTTGCGTATTGGGTTTTACTGTAAAATTTATTAGCTGACGTGCATCACATTTTGTGAGGTGTCCATAATGGTCAGTGATTGGTCTGTTGTTGTACACATGGGTTTACCACATGGTCAGTATGGTGGGAGTATAAATATACAAGACACCATGTGCAGAGCTCATTCTTTTTCTCCTCTCCAAGATTGGTGCATCAGAAGAAGACACAATAGGAAGAATACAAAGAGAAGAAAATCCTCATTTGTATTTGAGAGTGTAGGAGAGGTTTAATGATCGAGCAAAGTGAATCCAATTATGTCTTTACAAGGACAGTATTAAGTATAACGGTGGTATTAACTTGGGAGAGTATTAAAGATTATAATTAACGAGCACAATAAATTCTCTGGTCAACGCAGAAGTAACAGAAAGGAAAACAATTTGAAGGATATGACCGGAAGATTCAACAAGGTTAAGTGGAATGGGAGTGGTGTACCACGTGGTGAAGAGGAAGCCTGTTTGAATCAGCTAACAGTCAGGCTTATAGTTGATTGTATTAGACCTAATTAATTTAATTAATTTCTTGTTGCGTTGTAAATTTAGTACCAATTTGTAAGTGGAGGGTGATTATTGTCAGTGAAGAAATTTTGTCAATTGTGTGAAGGGATGATGGAACACTCCATTAGTCTTATAGCGATTGTAATCAAACCTCAGAAATTTATATGTTTGTCCACTAAACTCATATAGTGTCTCATTTGTGTATGAACCTTCATTGTCTAACCCCACATTAATCTGTGTACTTGGTAATACACATAACTACAGTCTTCTTATTTTTATAGTATATATGTAAAATTGTGAGATTTTGTCTTGATAAGTTTAACTTTGTATTATCAAAATTTTTTAAGATCAACTATAATTTATTTTAAATTTTAAACATTTTTGTTTTAAAAATTATGGTGGTTTGCAGGAATCTTATCAAATTCAAAGTGTGTCACTAATCCAAAATGTTGAGAAACACTGCATTATTGTAATGTAAAACAGTTCAAATCCAGTAATTACTTTCAGAATTTTTTACTTTAAGACTAATTAATGAATAAAAATAATTTGATAATTAACCTTATTGAATTTAAATCATATGTTACTAATAAATAATTTAAATAGATTTTATGTTCTGGTAATTAGATTGCTATTGTATAAAATAAAGCATTAATTAATATTTTTAAAGTTCAAACTTTTATTTTATCAGATTTAGGTTTTAGTTTTTAATATAGCTAATATAAAATAACTAATGTTAAAAAAGAATACTTAAAACAATTCCACTTTTAAGCCTCTATCAAATGTTGATGACAAAACATTCTGTAATAAAAGTCATTACATAATTAGGTACAAATGCATTTCTAAATGAGACAGTTGGGATCTTATCAGAGCTGTAGGCTATGCCTATAGAAGTAAAAATGTCAAAGGAACTGACATAGCCCTCAACAAAATTGGCCTATCTGGAATTTTGAAGACCCTCAAACATGAAGTAAAACTTAAAAATAAAAAACCATTTAACTATCCAGCATAATTCTTTAATAACATAAAAACGTTTTCAAACGCTAGTAGGTGCAACTTTGAGGAATTTGAAAAAAAGAATGAATGAACATAAGCTTTCAGTGAGCAAAACTGTTGACAGTACAGTCCTTGCCACTTATGCTAAGCAACAAGGCATTACTGTTTTCTGGGACCAGGCCTCTATAATAAAAGCTACTAAATCTAGACACGTGGTAAAATATCTCGAAAAAATAGAAATCCACAGGGCGCAGAAGAGCACGCAGTGTATCAACTATAGTGATGCAGACTGGCTTTCGTCTGCTTGGAAATCTTTTTGCAACGAATTGGCATAGATCTATAAAAAAGAAGGCTTAATCAAACTTACGATGATATTGGATAGATTTTTTATTTTATTTTATTTTTATTTTTTTTTAATTAAATACACGGAAATTTGTATATCATTTTCGTTTATAACATGTTACCTTTTAATTTTTTACATAACTGTTTATTTGAAATTCAATTGTGTAATTTTTCGAATTTCCCGTTTCGAATTAGAGAAATAACTGATGATGAACGCTCAATGCATTTGAAAACATTTTTATGTTATTAAAGAGGAGATGCTGGATAATTAAATGGTTTTTTTATTTTTAAGTTGAATTCTCCAGTAAGCAAGTATACAATTATTTATCTCATGAAGTAAAATTTAAAAGTGAAAACAATCTAGTATTATTTCTCAAAACAATGTTATAAATCAACTCTTTTCCACTTTACTAAAGATGGATAAAAACTCATAAAACATGAGAAATACCATTGCACTGACTACTTCTGGGGTATGATTAGATTCATACTGCATGCTCCATTCAGCTTATCACACATTTAACAAGCAACTCAGTCCAATATACTGGGGGTGAATATCTTGCCAATGTCATATAGATATGATTCCTTTAATGTTCTTTGATCTTCTATCATGTGTCTAAACTCCCATTCAAAACTGAAATTTTACCCATAATTAGTTGTCTATTATCATTCAACATTTGTAAATGCAGAACATTTTCAAATTCTAAAACCTTTTAATACTATTGAAAATTAAGAGATAGAATAATTAATAATGCTTCTTCTAAATATGACAGAAGTATACTTCATCCAATCTGAATAATTTAAGATAGTTTATTTCTCATCCATTAACTATATTCTCTGATCTTATTATTGATGGGATTTAATAACAAGATATGAAGATTATACAAAATAACAGTTTTTTACATTTTCATCCCAGAAAAAGACTCACAACAGTATTAGAAACAATTCAATATTCATTACATGTTTTGGCTTATACGTCTGTTGAATGAATGGAGGCCAAATAAATCATTTTGACTGATGAGTATTACAAATAATAGCATTTTGATTTAAATAATTATCTCAGACTACCAATTGATGGAAATAACTCATAAATATTAAGTTAAAGCTGAATGCTAAATATAAGATTTCACAATTGTTATAAGTGTCAGTATTTATATAATAGTGACTAAAGAAGGTCTAGTGAAGATCAAAATGCATCCCTCAAATAAAATTAATCTATTTTTCTTTTGGTGTTATCTCAATTTTCTAATGCTCCAATGCAGTTTGATATGCCTCGTATTTCTCCATGAAATGGTAGTTTGAGATAATTATTTAATTCATTAGAAGCAAGAATCTTACAACTGTAGCATTTTGATATTTTTTCTACAATTACAGTCATACATTTTTCTACAAAGATTCCACAAATGACTATCTTAATGCAAAGAGATGTTTGGACATAATTACAAAATTCTTAAACTGTTGTAATAAACCCATTTATAAAATAGGGAATGAAAAAAATTCCTGCAAAAAGATTAACAATCTTGATATCTACAATTTATTTACATGGTCATGTTTGTTAAAAATGCTTGCAATACAAGTACCATCTAGAAACAAAGCATGATAACAGAAAACAATGACATAAAAAGTTTTTGATATCAAAATTTAGTTTACGATTTAACTGTAATGCCCACTTTCAAAAGTTTAAGATAGAATTGTGAGAAGTCAACAGATTGATTTAACAAATTGTGTTTTTAAAGAAAGCTTATCTCCAGACAATTTTCTAATCTGTTTACTTACTTTGTTTTGTTAAGTTGCGTCAATGCAACACTCAGGCAATCTGCCTAGGGTGGATGCCTTTTGAGAGGTCTTTTTAAGGGTAACTGGCTCCTATTTAGGTGTTACAGACATGGAGAAAACTCCACATGGCCAGCCCGTCCAGGCGAGATGCAAACCCATGGCCAAACTCCCAGTGTTCAGGGAATGAAACCATTTGGCCATTGATGAGCCAATCTGTTTATTTACATGGGACTTTTTAAACATTCTATTAAAGTTACGGACATTAACCAAAGTTACAGATCTCAATAATAACAATAGTTCAAAAACAACTAATGTATGGAAGTTTTTCCAATTAGCCATAATAATTGAAATGCAATATATTTCAATAAATAGCCAACTATTCAAATATATGAAAATGTAAATAAAAGTAACAGTAGATGTCATTGCATTCCATCAACAGAAATATAAAAAAACTGATCAATATCCTAAGTTTTCCTTTAATTTAGTTATAATGTCAATACTACATTTCAAATATAAAAACATGTGTTGATGTTAAATTTTCTATTTGACTAATCACTTATTTCTATATTTCATTTATTTACATGAATAAAACATTTGCAAACCTTTAAAGTATCCATCAAACTTTGAACTTTATCTTCTTCCAAAACACTTTGAAATGGTCTTATTAACACGTGGAAAGGAACTTGGTGGATTTCTTCGATATGATCGGAATGGATACTTTTACTCATACTTAATTTTTGGCAGTGACTAACAGAGACGAATCTTCTTAACAAAAAGATAATTGCAAATCGAGTTTCTAAGGAAAACATTACACGTTTACGTCATTTTATCGGAAAGATAATTTTCGATCGACAGTATTGGAATTTAAATTTTCGAAATACACGTGGGCTACAGCGCCACCTGACGTATAAACATCTTCCAATTGCTTTTAACTTTTTGAATTTTTATATACAGTAGAACCTCGAAAACTCGTCTCTCGATAACCCGGCACTCCGGATAACTCGGTCACACCCTGGCAGGGCAAAAAAATCCTTAGTTAATTAATTTTCATTATAGACAGCTTTATAAAAGTATAAAAGCTCTCATAAAGTATTTTTCTCAGGTCTGTCTTATCAGGTAAATTACTGTACACAGTGTATTCATTAATTTTCATTTTCATGTAGTAAAGGCTCTATGCCTTCATAAAGGACGTACTTTTCCTTTGTTTAAGGGTATTTGGGCAGTTTATTCTCTGTTATATTCTCAAGTAAACAATACATACAAGTACAGTACAGTATTTTCTGAGGAAACACTCGTACTTATTTTTTTAACCCCATTCCCGATAACCCGGCATTTTCACAAACTCGGCCACCCTTCGGTCCACATTAGGCCGAGTTTTCGAGGTTCTACTGTATCTGCATATTAAAATAAAAAGATGGTTTCGATTTGTCCGATTTAGTTTGAGTAAAAGGCTGGGGCTAAAAGTACGGTTCAAATGCCAAAATAAATTTCCTACCCTATTATTCGGTCCTATGGGCAAGGTGGTTAATTAAATGATTCAAAAGGCGATTCATTTATTTTGATGAAAAGCAGAGATACAATAGAACATCGAAATCTTGCAATAGGACTATGTAATCCTCTACTTCATTCCCGTTATTTGATAATTTTCGATCAGATGCTGCAGTTGCAAAGTAGCGCGACTGTAAATTATTGACGATGCTTGCAAGGAAGTCGACACAGTTGATGCTGACTAGTGGCGTGTTAGTGCTTCAACGCGATTCCTTTTTAATCCAGGATTTCCGATGCATTTATGGTCCTGTTTCTTTTCCCTGGGTCTATCTTTCAGGTCTATTTCTGGTTGAAATATATCTAATTGATCGCCTAATATGCTTATCAGCATTTGTAAAACCTTACAAAATCTCTCTCATATAACAACGTCAGTTTGCCTGTAGTTTTAAAACATCGTACATTAAGACCGATCATTTAGAAAGATTATTGTAATATATAATAATATATTAATAAATTTTTTACATTTAATTTTAGTTTAAACACAGATTTTTGGATGTCATTTATTTTACGCGAAAGCCAATTAGCGCGGATTTTATTAATTTGATTTAAATTCAATTGCGATGCGTACTGATTAATCGGAAGTCGTATCTTACCCGCATGCGCATTGATATCTAATCTGAATAACAACGTCATCGCCGGTTCGTCTACTGACATCAAATAACGCCAGGCGATCGCGGCACTACTAGGGTTTCTCAAACGGGATTCCGGGATCCCGGTTGTTTTTTTAACCCGGGAAATTTTTCTTATCCCGGGAAATTCCGCAAATTTCTTAAAAATTCGTTTTTTTTTTTTTATTTTGCGTTAAGGTTGAGGAATTTTGCAAATAGAAAGCATAATTAACTCATTCACTGTCAGAATACATTTGTATTTATTAATTTTAAACCTACCTATTAGTTTTTTTTTTAATTTTTGCTCGTTATAGCATGTCACAAATGGTCAATAATCAATATATAGCTTATTTTTGGCAGGACTATAAAAATTATTTACTTGTCGGAACCTGTAATATCTGGAATAATTGTGCTTACGCTGTCTTGAGTTTTAACCATGCCCAGTAGCTTCAATAAATGCCTGACGCCAGATTGTGCAAATTGGGCAAGGATACAAACGAGTACAAAGTCTGCAAGTATGAAGTTTTTCTTCATAAACCTGATTATTAAAGCCAAATGAATTGCCGAATTATCGAGCTCTAAGCTTGATGCCGCTATTAAAGCAGCCAAGGTAGACAAATCAAGAATACTAGAGAGCGAAAGAAGTACTACAATCTCGAAAACGAACTCGAAATCTTCCAGGCTACAGGTGAAAAAACACATAATATCTGTCTTCTCTTAAATGCATTAAACACTATTCCAATCACATCAATTGAATCGGAAAGGGCATTCTCGGTGGCAAGACTTTTCATTACTAAAATAAGAATTAGAGTGAGTTATCGGAGTATTGACCATCTTTGCTTTTTAAAATCTTATAAAAGTTTGCAATATTTTGTATTATATTTTATTTAAAAAACGAAAATTACCTTCTAAATTAGAAGTTCATTTTTTTAATTTTTAACTCAATTCAAAACATTTTTTTTGTTGTTGTTGTATGCAGTTTCCAGCAAACTTTAATTAATTTTTTTCTATTTGTGAAAATTTCTACGTTATTTAAAGGTAATTTTTATTATAGGCCTATAGACCTTACACAGCATTATTAATATGATTTTGGAGGTTACAGAACTTTAAATTTACTTGAAAAATGGAAAATAATTATATCATTTGATTTCAAGATATTTTGTATACCTTAAAAATAATTAATTCTATCCCGGGATTTCCCGGGATGCCGGGAAACAGTTCACTTTTATCCCGGGATCCCGGGACAAGCAAAAGGCCGGAAAATGAGAAACCCTAGGCACTACTAACTTCTAAATCGGTAGTTCCGTCGTTCATTGGTCGGCCGTAGACTTTCTTCAATAATCTCGGTAGCTCTAAAACGTAAATGCAGAGTTATTTCTAAATCAAATCCATTATTCTGTTGCCAATGAATCAGATGATGATCAGTAAATGGTCTGTCGTGAACAAATATTGCATCCCGAACATGCATATTAATCTCCTAACCAAGGACGTTTTTTTCTCTCTCACACGAAACGGACTGATACTGTACGTCTGATTATTACTTTTTTCATTCTCCTTTCCTAGGTTTTCCTTACTGTTTTTGAAAGATTGAACACGTTAAAAATAATCTTTCAGTGATTCAATTGTTGAAGTTATGTTATCACCTCCCGTTTCTGTTTATGCCCAAAATTCTTGTTCTACTTTTGTCTTACCAGATTTTGTCCTAAAGAAAGTTGTTATTGAACCTGATCAGATTCTGTTGATTTCTGTAAACTAGATTAAAATACTTTTGCACTCACTTCTCTAGTATGAAGTTGATGCAAAGAATGGTACCAAGTTCAAAACGAGCCTTATCTTAGTGAGGGAGGAGAGATATAAATGCCTGGTAGTTTCGATATCCCTGCAGTGAAGACAAGAAGAGAATTCAAAATTGTAGAATTTAAATACAATGGAGCAGTTTCCTATGCGGAAGCGACACAGAATTGGAACTCCTAAAGTGCACCTAGTTTCAGGCGCAGTGATAAAAGGATGGAATGTGATTAGGGCCTTTGTTGCCCAGAATAATTGTTACCTCGCAGGGTAGATGTATTGTGAGAGGTCACAACAGCAGTCCGCCAAAGTGAGCCCATGTTATCACTTGAGATGGGTAGTTTTCGGTCGGAACCAGTTTTGGACTCAGAACCACTAGGAACAGTTCCACACTAAGTATCGAGACACTTCCGATCGGAACTACTAACTCGTTCTTCATTTTGTACTTTTATGAATACGGGTTTTCACAGAACAATAAGCTTTAAAATGAAAACTATTTTACAAATTTAGTTATCTTAGTCTACCGTTGTCATGTTTATCAAGAAGTGTGGATTACATCAAGTCAGGCGAAAAGTGGGGTGTCTATATTTCAAGGTAGTCTATATTTTCCTCAGAGTTCCAGAGAATAAGTATGAAAAATTTGGTACAAACTGGACAAAGAGCTTAGCAGTTAATAAGGAGAATGAAATGAAGAGAGGGTGATAATAAGGCTCGTTTTGATGTTCAGGTTGTATATTTTTCTTAGAGTCCGCGTTATCCTAGAATAATTTGGAAGTGATCGACCAAAAACTTGTGAGCAGAGAGGCACAAACACAAACATTCTCTTATATATATCCGATAACATATATATATTCTCTTATATATAAATAACCATCGAGCAGGGCTATGGAGTCGCGTAAAAATCTACCGACTCCGACTCCTACCTTTCCTTACCATCCGACTCCGACTCCGACCAGGGGCGGACTTGTTACCGAAAGAGATCCGGAAATTCTGATGTCATCACGTGGCCTCAGAATAAAAGATTCAATAAATAGAATTCTAATAGAGATAGAACGTAGAAACTTTTTATTCCAAAGCTAAAAGATTCCTCTAACAAGTAAGTAATATATAAATATGTATTCCATAACTTTTACTTTTCCGGCTGTTATAAAAGTCTAGCGCTCGGTCAAAAAATGACCCTTTCCAAATTTTTACATTTTTGGACTCAGGACACGTTGAAATTTCGAGATATGCAAAAGATTCGAGGTTTTTTCTATGTGTGGAGCATGATCTTGTTCACTCTGTTTGAAGCCTAATAATTTCTGTAGTCAGAGTGGAATCGGAGTCAGATGGTTTAACACAGGAGTTAGTTATTAAGCGTCAAAGTGGTTGACGCTTAATAACTAACTCCTGTCCCCATATCTAAATCATGTCCCCAAATACGTTCTAACATCTTAGGCGAGAACATCTTAACGGGTTTTACTGTACTATTATAAAATGACAAAAAAGCTTACTTTGAGGGTAGAGACGAATTTTATTATTATTATTTTTTTAATTTTGAACGCTAATAACGTGTAAAATATTCATTAAGAGATATGACACATGACCACTTATGTCTTCACCCTGTCGACCTTTAATTAAGAACCAAAATTTAATAGTATTAATGCCCCTTTATACGCGAGCTACAGTACCATATTTCGTTTCTTAAACTTTACCCATTCTGAAATATTGTTTAATTAATATGTCAGAACAGAAAATAAAGAAGTTGAACAAATTAGATGCCAACACATATACGCACGCGAATTTTTCCTCTAAATTTTTATTGACTTTTTGAGGGGTTCGAGAGGTCTCCAAACGCGTAGATTTGAAAAAAAAAACCTAGAGAGAGAAATTTGACACAATTCCAATACTTTTCCATTTTATATAGCCTACATAAGAAGTTTGGAAGTAAAAAGGAGTCGAAGTCGGCGGATCTTTTGACGACTCCGA